GGTGGACTCCCTTAGGGTCCAACACCATGACCCTACCAGTAATGAAGAAGACATCCGCATCAAACTTGACTTGGAAGAGGAGGAGAGGGAGATAGCCATGCTTAGGAATGCAAAGTACAAGCGTCAAATAACCAAGTATTGCAACTCGAGGGTGAAGCCTCACTCCTTCTCGCCCGGGGACCTAGTCCTCAAAAAGGTCATATTGTCTACCAAAGACTCGTAGGAAGGAAAACTAGGACCCAACTGGGAAGGACCTACACGGTCACAGAAGTCATAAGACCGGGTACCTATAGAATCCAGAATTTCGAAGGGAAAGTTCTGGCCCATCCATGGAACGCAGAGCACCTAAAGAAATATTACTAGTAGCTGGGGGCAAGGTAGTGAGTGTATAAGTCATTAGTCACCAGTTAGATTATCTACTTTTGTTTTGGTCAAATTCCCTTAATATTTAATTTGAAGTATGAAATAAAATTTTGCAATATTTCTTCAAAAAATTGTATTTCATAGAAGTTCACGAAGCTTCTACAAAAAGATAGAACATGACATAGCAACAAAAATGCGAATACAAAGATACCATGCTTCTAACAACACTCACTGCCTTTGTTCCCCTCATCGCTCGCATCCTCATCATTAGTCCCTAAAGCCTCATAAGGGACAAAGCCAGAAAAGTCATAAGAGGGAAAAGTTACTAAGACCTTCCCCCTAAGCTCCTCGTAGCCATCAATAAAGGCGTCTGCCAAGGCCCTCTCTACAGCATCCCTCTTCTTCTCCATCTCTATGAAGTAAGCCTCTACCCTAGTAGCTCTCTCAAGAACTGCTCGAAGGTCAGTCTCTAACATAGTGGCCCTCTCGCAGGACACTCGCACCACTGTCACTGCAACCTCTCTGTAAGCCTCCAACTAGGTGGCCCTCTCACGAGATGCCCGAAGCTCGATCTCAAGTTTGGCAGCTCTCTCGTGTGCTAGCCTCGACTACTCCTCGACATCCTCTCTCGTCTGTCGTTTGAGCCCCAACTACTCTTTAACAGCCTGCTACTCTACTACTTGACCATCAAGTGCCTCCCTAATCTTCAACATACTTGAAAACAAGCAAGGAAAAGTAGTAGCCACCTGCAAGCATTCAAAAGTAGAATATGAAACACACCAAAGCAAAGCCCTCTATAGTAGCATCAACAATGCCCTCCGGACCTCGAAAGGCAACCTCCTCAATCTCTGCACGAGTCACAAACCCCCAAAGCCGCTCCTTGGCCAGTTTCACGTCTTGCAACATGGATACTAAAGTACTGCCTGAAACAAGATGGCTAGGTGGAGCCTCCATTCTAGTAGGAGACCTCACTAGGGCCTTAACCCCCACAATAGTACCGGGACTATCTCTAGGGGGTGAAGGAACAACAATCGGGGAAGAACGAGATGCATCAACAGGTTCCGCCTCACTAGAACTAGCCTGGCCGATGGACCTTAGTAGAGAAACACCAGGGGTATTAGAATTTGACCTCGTCGAAGGAGGAGAAAATGTCACCCTGGAAGCATAGACAGCCTCCGCCACCACCCTATCAATGGAGGTACCTGCAGAATCTGTGTGAAATAAAAAGCCTACAACGATGTAACCATAGAGAGCTTGTTGGAAAGATTAAATACCTTTTCTATTCGGCCTGGGAGTAGCCTTGGAATGACCTGACACGGACATGATCCCTGAGAACTCCTTGAACGGATGGTCGCGTACCATCTGAGTCTACCCTCTTGCTCCGCGGATAATGTTGGTGAAGCTACATAGAAGCCAATTGCACAGTAAGAACAAATATATGACAACTAGAAGTAAAATCAAAAGTGGAGTCCTTACCTAGCATGGTCTTGGGGATGGCATCCCACCTCGAAGGCACCAGGTCATGATCACTCTCGATGGTCCACTTCCCTCCAACAAAGAAGAACTTGATTTTCCAGCTATGACAGTTTGAAGGAAGCCTAGTAATGAACTTACCCGACCTCAGGGGGAAGCGGTACCATGGCTGATGAGGGATAGGGTTTTCCAGGAGCACATACATGACCAAGAACTCCTCGAATGGGGGATAGACATCAGCACTGTGGACCAGCCGCCATAATGAAGAGAATGCCAGTATCACCCTCCATCCATTGGGAGCCAGTGACAGGTGCCCCAAAACTCGACATATGGGCCCAGATATCATAAATCTAAAGCCTACCTCCAAGATGTCCTCATAAAGTACTATCTCGCCAAAGGAGTCACAACATGCTGACTCGTCCTCCTCCGCGCGACGACTCATTACAGCCAAAGGAATGCGATACGAAGATGCTATACCGGCAATGTCCCCGTCACAGTCAAGGGAGTTGAATATGGAGGCTACCTCTGAGCCATTATCTCCATCAGTCCCCATGCCTCGCTCGAAGTCTCAAGTAGTCTCCCGCTCGCAGTCTCAAGGAGCCTCCCATTCGCCTAAATGAACGCTTGTCAAAACAAAATCAAGTCAATGTTAAGAAAATACCTATGCCAACAAAGGATTAAATATGAGCACCAGGCAACATACCCCATGACCTTGTTTTGTTCAAACCACTGGCTGGCTGCTTCCTCGCACTACCTGAGCGCCAAAAGGTGCCACTGGGCTTACCCGCATGCTTCCTGGAGTTGCCCAGCGTGCCTGAACCTTCAGCCGCATCGCCCAAGGCATCAAAGTCACCACCATCATCTGGGACACACAGCCTGACTTGATTCGAAATATGTTCACCCAAGTGCAGGTGGTCGAGCTGTAGTAATAATCTGATTAAGTCCGGAGTCGAATCCATAGGGAACTATGATTAGTGTTTTGAAGTAGCAGTGGTAGAAGCCAAGTAACTAGAAACCTTGAGAGTTTGAAGTTATGGTATTTCCTGAATAGAATATAAGATTCTTTTCAAGATTTTTCAAGACAAAATATAAGATAAATTCAAATGTGAAACAGTCACCCTTTAGCTCGAGGATCATAATATGTAAGTAATCATCCGATTTATTATACTTGTGTTTTATAACTCAACTAACTCATATGTCAACAGCAAGTTAATCGGAAGATAAAGATAGACTATGAGAATTAAGCACATGATTTCGATGCCTTTCTAGAAGTTTATAAGAATTGTCTATACCGAGACTCAACCCATCTACAAACAAGCAAGTGTTTCTACAAGGCATCCAATCATGGCATTAATATTCCATTTTCTTTAGATAAAGCACAAAAATGGTGAAGATTGAAATGTTGTCATGAAGATCTAGCTAGGGTACTTGCCTTGAACCAACGAGTCTTTCTATGCAAGAGTCATCCATGACATAGAAAGATCTCATGGTTATACAATGTACCTTAGCTTTGCTAGATACATTCAATCATTCAATGGAAAAGTGAAATATAAAGCATTAAAGCATAAAAGAAATGCACAAATATAACTTTCGGATAATTTATACATATTCATCACCTCTCACTAAAGAATAAATGAGAAACTACTCACTCTTCATGGCTTTGGTAAAGCTAGAAAAGTGAGTGATATTCATCCCTCCAAGTAGAGGAGTTACAATGTGAAAGCACAATAAACAAAGAGCCGATCTTCAACGAAAAATGAGTGAATCACGTCCCACCCTTCACGGCTTTGGTAAAGCTCTAGAAAAGTGGAAGAGTTTCACTCTTCTAAGAAAGAAGAAAGCTCAAGCAATGGAAGTGAAAGACATGAACAATAGAAGTAGAAGAAAGCTAATCACATTTGGAGGGTGGCTTCCTCAACCATGAAATGAAGGGTTGCTTCCTCAACCAACATATGAACTAACTCACCTGATACAAGCAAATATAACATACATCTAACTACATGAGTGGGAGTACAAGCCTCCATCAAACTCTTGACTACTTCTTGGTGTAGTCTAAGCCTTACAAACCAAGTTCTAGCCTTTTACAAGAACTATCCTCCCTTTTAAAGGCTCTTCCGAGGGGAGTATTTATAGGCAAGGAGGAGAAAAGGGGGGAGACAAGAGAGTGTGAAGGAATAGTGTATGCCACTCAAGCCCAATTGAAGAGCCAACTACTCTACAGCCTGCCTGTGAAGGACGTTCAATCGTGAGTTGGCGTTCGAACATTGTCTCTATTTTTCCTTTATGTGCGTTCGAACGTTGTATGACATTTGAACGTATCTTTTGTCTTTGCTTTAAGGGCGTTCGAACGCCAGATGGGGTCTGACCTTCTCACTCAAGTGGCCTATGGTCTTCTGTGAAAACCTATTTCCACACTCCATGCACATCTTGGCATTTTGCACTCATCAATTTGGTCTTCAATCACTCAAGTGGACGTTCGAACATGAGTTGGCGTTCGAACATGGTACTCAAGTACCTCAGAGTCTTCCTTCTTGGCTGCAACATGCCATGTCTTCAACAGTCTGATTTCAATCACTCAAGTGGACGTTCGAACGTCCATGCCTTGGTCCAAGCTTTTCCAATTTTTCTCCAGAATATGCTGATGTTGCATGAATGTTTGATACTCATTGTCTTTAGTCCCTTGTACAATTTATGGCCTGAAATGTCATCATTTAAACTCCATCAAAGTATAATTAGTCTTAAAAGAGTATAACAATATGCCAATTTTAACTACTAACCACAGCCCACCGTCGTCGGCGCCGCCTGGAGCAAGGACCTTAGTGCCTTGGGTGCCGTCCAGCACTCCCCCTCTCCTGATGGTGTTGCCCTAATCACTAGCCTCGCAAAAAGAGGCTCAGATCGCGCCTGGGGAGCCGCCCAGCGTGTGCCAAGCGTCGTCCAGCTCCCCTAGGGTGCCTCCTTGCAGTTGGATTGCACCTAGGACGTCGCCCACACATACTTAGTTGTCATCCGTCTACTGAGATCTCGCCTCCACTGCAGCCAATAGTAAGACCCAAGTCGCCAACGCATGACAGGGCGTCGCCCACACTGCCCATGATGCCGCCTCTCCCCTTGGGGACCTCACCCATCATGATGTTGGTGCCACCCAAGCCCTCAGCATCGCCCTACGCCTCACCGAAGCCCCTCCTCACCTCGCCGAAGCCTCTTCTAGTCTTGCTCTTTGTGGCATGACCCCTAGCGCCATCGCCTTCGCCTCTCACGGCATTACCAGTGCCTTGGGCACCCTTATTGCCTCCCATGGAATCGCCCTCCTCTGCTCTATCCAACAACCCGTTGTGCTTAGGCAGGGTAGCCATTCCAGAGCTGCTCATGATAATCGGCCTCTCGTCTCCGTTGATGAGTACCTCCTTTGGAGGATATGAAGGTTTGCCAAATTTCGCCAAGATATCGCTAGAGCCAAGTTTCAACTGGACCTCTTTCCTTTGAGCTCCATTTCTCTTCCTCCTATGGTATAAAAGAGTAAAGTGGAAAAGTTTTAGAAGACCAAGGAAGGTGAGTGGTTTCAAATCTATTTATATGGTACTTGGAGACCTTGTAAGGATTGCCCTAAATAAAAAGAGGGATTCTCTTGACATGAAATTCTTTTTGGGACGATGGGTGTTCAATGATGAAACAAGGAAGACAAAGAGACTACCGTGGGGAGCAAGCCACCCAAGAGAAACGAGAGCTCACTCATGTCCTCAAAATATTTGACATAGCAAGAATTTGGGGCATGGGGGCAAATAACGAGCCCAAATCCAACTAAGCCTAGCCCAATAAATCAAGTTAGCTCAAATCAGCTACAAGGCAGCACAAGCTCGCTTTATCAATCTGACCCAATCCAAGATCCAAGGAGTCCACGAAGGAATGGGCACGTGGGGGAGAGATTATCGGGATAGATACACGAGAATTAATAGTACTTACCTTTTGTAACTATCCTCCCTGAAGAAGTAGTATCCTCACACTCACGTCACTGCCTCACTATACCTATAAATTGTAAACTCTCTCCACACTGTGAGGCATATCTCTCAATACAACTTGGCACCTCTCTACACCTCCCTACACACATAGCTTCTCTCTCCTAGCTATTATACCTCTTCCGGAGCATATATCTCCCGCAGCTTTCTCTCTCTTACTTTATTCATCAATATAGACCCCCGACCACCGTTGTCGTTTCCCAAGAGTGGAGTAGGTCACCCAAATCGAACCACTATATACCTGTGTGTTGATCCGATATTTACTATTTTGCCATTGATTGTTTTATTAATTGTCTTATTAATTACACCTTATCACACACTCAACTGTTGATCATGCACGAAACAGTTTTGTGCATCATAATTAATTTTAATATATATATATATATTGAATAACATTTTCTCTTATTGTTGTTGTCCGGTCTCTCTTCGTATTAAATTGCAGTTCTACATCACCAAGTGTTTGTATTATTGCTTTGATGAGCTGGCTAATCTTCTCCTTTGATTTTTTATGAACTTAATTCGTCTAATACCAATCTTTGAATTTTTGGGAGCAATGACCATCAGCTCCAGCGACAAGCGACGGCACAGGTCCAACGACAATGATGACCTCCTAAAATAGTGGTTTGTGGTTTTGGGTTTGACATGTTTTTGGGTGATTCACATTTTTTTTTTGTCGTGATTTGTTTTTTGTATGCTGTCTCAGATTCATTGAGAAGGTTCTGATTCTGAATGTGTTGGCATATGTATTGCATCATATTTAGAACTTAGTCTGTTCACTTTACTTAGTCTATTCACTTATTGTAAGAGAACATGCTGCCGAAATTCTGATGGAAATTAGGTTTTATTCAAAAAGGTACAATAACAGTACATAATAAGGGTTGTTTTGGTCAAATTTCATTACATTCCTTCTACAGAATTGGTTAATTAAAAACTGGGATGGAAAGAGCGACGCATTCTTGCTCTGAACGCTTTGATGCTACGAATCAAAATAATGGTAATCCTGATCTTTTTGCTAGCCTATTGTTATTATCCATTCCCACTGTTATTCTTTACCAAACTTGGCCTGAATATTCAAGTATAATTCTATGCATACAAAATTGATCTACAAAGTCTGTTTTGTGTGTGTGTGTTTTTGCTACCCATCTATTTGGTCCACTGGTGCTGACCCGATATCATTGTAGGTATAGTCAAGTGACATTGTAATTTGTGAAATTTTGTGGAATTTTGGTTGCATGAATTTGGATTTGGTACAAAGTAAGATTTTCACATGTTTTTTTACATGTTCTTGGGATTCTTTGATCGCTTAACGCCTCACCCATGGCTAAGTGACAAAAACGAAATTCGACTCCCATATTTCTCAGAATTTGGGACTGGGAGTTGGGACCTGAGTTAAATAATAATCTGGAGCTTGTTCTGTATAGTAAAACAGTTTTTCTTAATGTGATGTTTAACAGCATGGAATTGAGGTCCTGGGAGGCAAAAATAGTTCCAAATTTGAACCCAGTTTTCCCTAATTCCTTTTGCAGGGCTTGAGACTGATGGTATGTTGCACTAATTATTTCCAACTGCATTACAATGCCCAAATTCCACACTGGCAAACTGAGTGTTAGTATAGATTTACGTTTACTCTTTCTATTGCTGGACAATTCAATTATCAAACATGTTTGTGGCGATAGAGTTCATGATCTTCTGACTATTTTTTTTGGATCTACACTCTTTTTAATTCGCTTACTTGCACCGAAAAATCTAAATCTCAGAGTGGTATAACAAAGAACTTCAGGTTGAAGTGTTTGGTGGGTGGAGGTGGGTTTAGTCGTGATTATAGAGTTCGCTTGGAAAGCGCAAGACATGTAAGTTGTGTTTTGTTGAAAAAATAATTCTGTTAGACTTTGGATATCAAAGAGTGTTGAAACTGATTGTTTACATTTTATCTAATTTATGAAATTTCATTAAGTGGATTTAATATGCTAAATTGTTTTAGTTGATAACTTCTTTGTTTTGGATGTGATTGTGTACATAAACTAAATAAGTAGTTTTGTGCCTTCATATCATCATTCACTATGAATTTGTTTTCTCTGCTTCTTCATTAGATATATGGGAATCTATAGAACATTGTGTTTGGCGTTTCCTTTTGGATTGGCGTTGTTTTAGCTTTTCAGTTCATTGTTGGAGTTTAGAAGTTTGTTTCATAAAGTGCACTTTTATATTTTGTTGATGGGTTGATTTTTATTTTTATTGGGTAGAGTACATTGAGATGTGGCACGTTGTTATGGTAGTTTTGAATTTCTTGAATGGTGATTGACATTTTTTTTTTAATTAGCAATTTTTTATTTTACATAGTACTGTCAAACACATACATCAACTAGTGTCTTCAGGCCACTTGAAATTTTACTTCCAAAGGTGACTTGAGAGATATTGCAAAAATCTCATATTTATCTCTCAAGAATGCATTAACATTCATTTTCAGAATTTATACATACTCGGTCTGAAGCTCGGGGTTCACAATTTTAAATTTTTTTTTTTACTACTAGTCCAATGTTCAAACAGCCTTCTCGTGTCGTCAATGTAGCGTCCGCCTAATGCGTCCGGATGGTGAACAATGTGCATCCAGAGAATTAGTCAAAATGCACATAAACTGTAATATGATGAAAATTTTGTTTCGGTGTTGAATATCTCTCTAAAATCACCTTTGGAAGTAAAATTTCAAGTGTGACATCTACATGCTGAGTTCAAATTACTATTCTTAACGCAGTGACAGGGCATGCACAAAAAATTTAAAAGGCCAGCCCTAAACTACAGTGAATAGGACACGTGTGTGTGTGTGTGGAGCTAGTTACATGAACAAGTCCTTGAGGATCCAAAAGCATAGACATTCTTAGTTAAAAGTTTTTAAGCTTCGACACAAAAGATAAAACTAGCAGAAAATGACATCTCATCAATTGAAAAGCCAGCGGAACTGGAAGAGACCGTAGTTGACGACATAATTTTGTTCAAATACATTTGATAAACACATCATTCCAAGCTTCGAGCATTTTGGTTGACTTCAGCCAAATGTTGCAATGAGGAAACCCTTATAAATGCTCATGAACTTGGCTATAAATGCTGCGCAGTTGAAGGTAAGGTAAAATCAGCAGAAAGATGGCCAATCCAGCTCCAAAAGCAACATTAATCGATTTGTCCGTATCACAACTATCTCAAATTTTCTTCACTTTCGTGTCTAGTTACAATATAAATATAGATATACCCCTCAGAGATTGCATTGAAAAATGAATAAAGTGATGTGCACGTCAGATCAAATTCATATACCTTTATAATAAAAAGTGGATATCCTTTGATATTCAAGTTCTAATTCGTTTCCGCTTAGTTCATTGGTTTTGAGTGATAACACAGGTTTTCCATTAGCTATGCCAATTAGAATTCTTTATAATGTTATCACATGGAATTTTACTGCCTTTTCTTGGGCATTAAACTTTGTATTACCTAATGCTTGCGACTACCATTGCATGTTTAGTACTTGTCACCCTAAATTTTTTTTTTTTTTTTTTTTTGACGGGAAACAAAAGAATATTACTATGAATGAGTCAATAGATGAGATTGTCAGAAAAAGTAGGATCCACACATCAAAATTGGTGGGACCAATTTTAAAACGTGTTTTCGCCCACGAGGAAATGAACGCCGTCTATTTATTTGTTTAAAACCATCAAGTATTGAATGAGAAATTATGTCTCAAAGTGACCCATTTAAAGTGACGAAATAAACAATTAGTGGTGGAATAAGGCTTATCCCATTTTAAAAGAAGACCAACACTTTCATGAGTTAATATACTCCTAGTTAATTTCATGGGTTGGGCCCCAAGGGATACCGCATTTTTGTGAACAAAGCAAGAACCTCCACAACCTTGGTTACCACACGCGACGCCCGCCTGTCTTGCCACGACCCAGCCAAGCTCGAGCTTGGGTCAAAAAGATTTTATCTTTTTGAACAAAATTTATTTAGAGTGGTGCGAGTTATGGGTCATATCAATCTGGTACAAAACAGGGATCATTCCGAACCGAAATTTAAAATCCAAATCAGAATTTTAAGTTTTTTACCTGTTACTTTGAATTTGGCGCCGAGTTGGGTCTAGTTCATTCCAAAGGTCAATTCAGAGGTGCCTTTTGCTTGTTCATATTAAAAGAATATGTCTATTCAATCTGAACAATGACATCTCATCCCTCTTTAGGCGATCTGAACAGCCATCAAGAGACTATAAATAAACTGTCTTCAAGTCATTTTCATTCATCCCAAGTATTCAGAGTTTCTTCTCTATCTACTATTGCTGCATTAATCTTTCTTGTTCGGTTCAAGTATAAACACATAATTGTGTTCACTAGAGTATGGAAGATTGAAGTGTTGCATCTTCAAGAACAAAACTCATTACTCTCGAATGGTATTATATCTATTGACTACGTGAGGTCAAAGGATAATATCGCAGATCCGCTTACAAAATATTTGACTAGAGAGCAAGTAGAAAGTTCATCAAGGGGAATGAGCTTAAAACCTATTATTTAACTAAGAATCATCGTAATGACAACCGAAATTAGTTGACTAGAGAGTTCAAAATCTAAGTTCAAATGAACAATAGAATTATGTGTAACTCAGAGCGCACTAAGGAGGTTTTTAACTCCTCATTCCTATGATGAGAGAGTGCACATCTACTGCGAGAACTAGGGAAGCTACGCTTTTAATAATATTTTGACTTGGAAAAGTTCAAGTAGAATATAGTAGAATACATTTAATCAGAAATCATCTATGTTACTAAGAATCGTAGACTAATTACTCTAACATTACTCATGAAACCTAGTAGTGCTCAAGACCAAAATAAACACAAAAATGAGAACCAACTATATCGGAAGGAAAAATGTATGAATTCTATTATCTTGGTTTATACAAATAGCTAACAGTTCAAATACATCAAGCCTACTAATTAGCCAAGTAAATCTGATAGTTTTTCACTAGGAAAAGTTCAAGGCCACTAGGCTACTTATCCAAATGTAATAACCTTTCAATTGTACTTGAACTAGCATATGCATTTTAATACATCGAATTTCCATTCATGTGAAAGATTGTTGGAAAAAATAATTTTAAATAAATTTATTTGAGCAACTTAAAGCTTAAAAATATGGTACCCACACTTCAAAATTAGTAAGCCTAAGTTTAAACGCATTATCTTCTACGAAAAGATGAAGGTCATATATTTATTTGTTGGAAAAATGATTTAAAACAAGTTTTTTGAGAACTTAAGGCTTAAATAAAAGTGGGACCACACCTCAAAATTAGTGGTACCGAGTTTAAGCGTGTTTTCCTCCGCGAGGAGATGAAAGTCGTATATTTACTTATTTAAAACCATCAAGTATTGAATAAGAAATTATGTCTCAAAATGACTCATTTGAAATAATGTAATAAACTAAAATTGGTGTAGTAAAATAAGACTTATCCCATATTATAAGAAAATCAACATTTTGGTGAGTTAACATACTCCCAGTTAGGTCTATGAATTGGGCTCCAAGGGTTACCACACTTCTGTGAACAAAACGAGCGCCTACACTAATTTGATTAGCACGCACGCCACCCGCCTACCTCATCTAGCCACGATCATGACCACTATCACGACTCGATCTGGTTGGGTCGAGCTTGGGTTCAAAAGATATATTTTGTTTTAGACAAAGTTTATTCGGTGTGGTATGGGTTATAAGTCAAACTAAACGGATCCGAACGCTGATCATATTCCAATTGAAATTTAAAAGTTGAACCAGATTTATAATTTTTTTTGTCTGTTAAATTGATTTTGACACTAAAGTATATTCTTCAATGGTTCCTTCTGTGTCTGTTTACTACAAAGGAGTCTTTTCCTTTCACTTCTATTCAGATTGAGGGTGTGTTTCTTCGGATCCAAACAAGGGCATCTTGTAACTCTTCAGGTGATCCAAATATGCATGAAGGGTATATAAATAGATTGCCTCAATGCCATTCTCCATCCATCCCAATTCTGAATTCAGTATTCAGAGTTTCTTCTCCCTCTCTACATATTTTTGCATTAGTCTTTCTTGTTCGATTCAAGTATAAACACAAAATTGTGTTTGTTAGAGTTTTGAAGATTGAAGTGTTGCATCTTCAAGAACAAAATCCATTCTATATTGGAAAACAATTGTTTATCAACCTTAAACACTGAGATGGAGCAAATCTGTCTTAAGAAAACTGTGATTATACCGAACTCGAATTATTATTATTTTCTGGTCTTCTGAATTTTTTTTCATGCAGTTCTAAGTCACTGTAAGCGCATTACTATTTATGTTTTAATATTCTGTTTTATTTAATTAGTTCACATATAACAGTATACTTAGTGTTCTAGATTTTAATACAGCAATTATATATATACTTTGGATAACATTTTTAAGACAAATTTCTTATATAATTAGATTAAGTACTATTATAATCTAAATCAAAATTTTGTATTATGTTATATTATTGCTATACTTTAAAATCAAAATGTTACTTGCTTCTGTTTGTATAACAAAAATAACTACAAATAATTCTGCTCCTACAACCATTGTTCCTATTACCGTGAATGTGTCTCATGGAGAGAAATCCGAGAAATTTAATGGCTCGAATTTCAAACATTGGCAACAGAAGATGCTTTTTTATCTCACCACACTAAACCTTGCTACGTTTCAAAGTGAAGATGTCCTTATACTTAATGAAAATGAACTGACAAGAAAAAGTTGATTGATGTGGATGTTTGGAAGCATTCCGATTTCATGTTTAGGAATTATATCTTGAATGGAATGGTTAATAAATTATACAATGTGTATAATGTTGTCAATTCTACGAAAGAACTTTGGAAGTATTTGGACAAGAAATATATGACTAAGGATGCCGGCACGAAAAATTTTATTATTGGTAAAGTCTTGGATTATAAAATAGTGAATTTGAAGACCGCCATAGCCCAAGTTTAAGAACTTCAAGTTATTCTTCATGATATCCATGCCGAGGATATGTATCTTAGGGCATCATTCCAAGTGACTGCGATCGTGGAAAAATTACCACCACTTTGGAAGGATTTCAAAAACCAACTTTGGAAAGATTTCAAAAATTATCTCAAGCATAAACACAAGTAGATGAAACTTGAAGAATTAATTGTTCGTTTGAGCATTGAAGAAGACAATTGCAAATCCAAGAAGAAAAGTGGAGTCTTTAATTTTCATGAAATCTAAAGCCAACATTGTGGAAGGTGTCACAAAGACTAATAAGAAGAGATAGCATAATAGTGAAAATCTAAATCAAGGACCTAAGAAGTGCAAGGGCAAGTGCAACAACTGTGGTAAACATAAGCATCTCTCGAAGGATTGTTGAAAGCCAAAGAACTTCAAGAAGCCAAATGCTCAACCAAACGTGACTGAAATGGACAAGCTTTCAATGAAAGTATCCGACATAAATCTCTCAGCAGTTGTATCTGAATGTAAGTTGGTGAAAAACCCCAATGAGTGGTGGGTTGACACCAACACCACTCAACATATTTGCTCCAACAAATGGATATTCTCTACTAATAAGAAGTTAGAGAATGATGAACAACTCTATATGGAGAACTCATTTACCTCTAAAGTCAAAGGATGTAGCAAGGTGATATTAAAGATACATCCGAAATGAACTCACCTTGAACGTGTTAAGAGTATTAAGATAGTATATGTAAATTGTTAATAGTGTTAGGATATATTGCTGACGTTATATTAAGAATTAAAATTTCTAGAACGTTAAATAACTCATGTTATCTCAATCTCACTATATTGATAAAATACTTAATAAGTTCAACAAGTATGAAATAAAACATATGGGAACACCTGTCAATTTTAATATCTATTTCTCTAAGAATAATAGCAAAAACATATATCAATTAGAATATGCACGTATAATCGGCAGTTTAATGTACATCATGAATTGTACTCGTCCCGATAAAGAATATTCTGAGTAAACTAAGTCGATATATAAATAACACCGGAAAAGACCACCGGAAAGCAATAATTAGTGCGTTGGGTTATTTAAAATATATCCAAACCTATGGTTTGTCTTTCACAAAATATCCCTGCTGGTTCAAATTGATAGATCTTATTTTGTTCATTAGAAAAACAATCATCATTTCCTGCTTGATTGGTTTCAAAAAATAAATTGGTTCATTACATTCAATTAATTTGGTACAGATTTGTGTTTTTCACCTCTTTATGGACTAAATCCACAAGGAATTTCAGAGGACTATCATTGTCGGACCTTCAAAAGGATTGGAAGGTGGCTTTTGTTTAATGTTTTCTTTTTTATGTTTGTTGTTATTTTCTTTGGTTTCTCTATTTTCTTGTGAGAATATCTTGTCCTCTATATTGTAACATTTCTATCTCTTCTGAATCTTAATAATACTTCTTTTACCAAAATAAATATACTATCTATAGCACAAATCACTCCTAATTGCGACCTTTTTCTTCTCATTGGTTGCCAATACTACCCCAATTTTTGCAGTTGCATTCTCAAGCTGTGTTAAATTATCTCTAAGAAGAACCCAAATCAGGTCCACTCCATGCTCTGTTTTTCATTTTATTTATCTCTGTTTTGTAGTATTCTTCCGGTTGCTTACCTATACTGAATTTCACAAAAATTTGGGCCACAGCAATCCACCATTCCCAGGAAAACCTCGAGGGACAGTGATGAAGCTCTGTTTCCCAGTATTCTGAACTTTTACAATTGGGAAAAAAATTCCATTCCTACTAGCAGACTTCTCCAATGAAAGACGACAAGATTTACCTCTTAATTTTCTGGAAAAAAAAAATCCAGATTGACACCACTGGGCAACCTCTTGCATTGAACTTCCTGGCCACTCTACACTACCCAGCTCTATACCAATGCAAAAGCTCGCAAAACGACTTCTCTCCGTAATCTTGACCATCTTTCCCTTTGTCGCCCCAACTATGGAAGGTTATTTTATCTTATCAAGCTTACTAGATTTGCTTAGCTAGCTACCATTGTGAAACACAATCAAATAAATGAGTTGCCAAAGGTAAATATGAAGGCCATACATGAACATACAGAATAAATTATGAGTAATTTAAGTTCTTGTGCTTCAATTGAAGAAGTAGCTTATAACAAAGATTAGACGATCATGTAATTGATCTAAGAAGTAGACAACGGCACTAAGAATATTTGAACAAAATAGGCGCCAGACAATGAAGAAGTAACTTATAACAGAGCTGCGGATCTGTATTTTGTTTTCTTATAATGATTTTTATCATTGAAACAGTATGGAGTTGTTCAAATGTGTTTTACATGCATATTCACTACATAATGCGGATGAAATTTGGTGAACTTTGTGAGGGTCGGTAGATAGAAAGTACATTCTTTTCTTAATTTTTCCGCTACATGGATTTTCAGGGATGTTATATGGTGATTGAGCTAGCATAGATGATTGATTATCCAGTCTATAGAAATGTGCCCCCTAAAGTTCATTGAATTGACAAGTAATTAAGCATCATGTATGATTTTATGTGGCAATCCAATGAAAATAACCTACAGTACCTTCAATGTGAAATATGGCTTTTTGTCCAAGATGCATCCTATGTTCCTGCACCAATATAAAGACCTCATTAGGTTATAGGAAACTACATCATCACCCTTGAAACGTGTGAACTTACCTTCCAAAAACATTTTGCTTATTTTGAGTGTGACTTTCAAAGTCTTTACTAGCATGTAAGCTTTTTAATCATTGTGTTGCTATGAAATACTAAATTCAGGAATGATCCTAGGAAATGTGGCATACCCTTTTTTTTCTTTCTTTTTTTATGTTTTCGGTTACTATTAACCCCAAAGCTTCAGAAAAGTGGAATTAACCAATACGATTAAACTCATAGCACTTGTTACTTTTGGGATGTTATTACTTTCTTTTGTGAGGAAGGAGAAAAGGGGAGGGGAATGGGAAGAAGGAAAAATTGAGACTAAATTATGAAGTACAATGACCAATTTACAGAGCAGGCCTAATTTTGACCTGCGTAATATGAACAGATTAAAAGGCCGCCAAGTTATACATACGGATCATTTTGAAAATAACAAGAAATGTGGGGAAGAAAAGAAGGCATATTGGGACAAAATAATGAACTTACAAAGTATGCAGCCCAATGACAGATCTCATGCTTCAATTCAGAATCCAATTTCTTCAACAGTTCAAAAAGTAACCTCTGAAACCAATAGCAAAGAGATTCCTCACCTGCATAATCGGATCTTTAAAAAAAACAAAAGGGGAAACCTAGGTATAGTCATGACCTTCAAAACTACTTCCGGGGGAATACAATTAATGAGTAGCTCATATATTTTCCCTCGAACCTGGAACAATCTGGAATACAATATGGCGTTTAATAAAAGAGATCTGCAGCAAAATGCATATTAAAGCATCTAGGCAGCATTTAATCTACAAAAAAAGAAGGTGATCTCAGGAGAACAACAATTTTTTTTTTGTTTGATAGGAAACAAAGACTATTAGTAGAACAAAATGGATGTAATACAATAGGAAAGGTGGACAAGAAGTCCAGCCAGAATACGAACAATAGCACTACATCAAAAACAGGAAAAATTAACTTAGAAAGAAAAACCAGCAAGTTTACACAAACATAAAGACCACAAACAGTCATCCATCTCGCCAAGATTCCAAAAAGAGGCATATTAGCAAGATTCTTTGTTACTGAAGCCCAAAAAGATGCTTAGAAGTAGACCCGATTCCCTAATTCTTCAAGCACCTCACAATTGTTCTAAAAAACTCTTGCATTTACTTTCAACTAAATCACCCAACCTATAGCAAGCATTGCTCAACCCCAAAGGGTAACACCATTGCTCTTCCTTCCCAAGCCATTATATTCCAAACTACACATAGTAGAAATGAATTTTGGAGCCACCCAAGAATTCCCTACCATATCAAACAATTTATTCCATAAATACCAAGCAACCGGACATGCAAAAATAAATGATCTACATTCTCACCATTGTCCATACCATTACATGCAATTGTGGGTAAAGGCATTTATTAGGTCTTCTCTTTTGTCGCATATCATTGGTATTGGTCTTACCATGAGTCACAACCATGCACAAACTTGCACTTTCAAAGGCATCTTTGTCTTCCAAATCTTCAAAGATGGATAAAAAATTGGGAGGGAAGAATCATCAATCAAGGAATCAAAAAAGGATTTGCAAGGGAATGAACCCATCAAGAATTTTCACAATCTCAAATTTTCAAAAATCGGATCCATCTAGTGAAAGATATTATATTTCTATCATAGGTTCTCAAGGTTAAAGTAAAGACTAAGATTCGTTCATCTCCCAATTTCTGTAAGAACTGCTGATTATCCTGCACTACTAGTTGCTATCTTTCTCAACTTCCTGCCTGAAATGAGCTATCAAAGAAAACCTTGGTAGGTATTCATAGCTCTCGCGATAATGGAGTTTCGTGAAGGACAAAAGCAAGCCTGGAGGAAAATAATAACAAATTACTATACATAAGTTAAACACATGTAAGTATGGTTTTGCTCGGTGGCTTGGTTGATGTCCAAAAGAATCTCTGAAAATTATTCAAGGAATGTGCTGGAAGATCAAATTTGGAAGTTTTGCATATCTAACTGTCACTCCATACCAATGGGAAAAAAAATGCCCCAATATAGATTAGTTGCTAGTAATTTCCACTCCTGAATGATTTCATTCTAACTAGCTAATTGTTCACTTAAAAGAGTCTACATCGTGGAACAGGTTCATACGAGTTGCACAAAACTATAATTCAGGGGCTTACCCAGTATCAACATGATTAATAGACCTAAGACCCATACGTGTATGCCCTTACAAATCTGCCACGAGGCAAAATGATAAAACTATTTATTGCATTTGATAAACTGCCTTCATAAAATAACTTTTCGATGAACGTAATGATCCATTTTGAGGCATACTAGTTAACATGCCTATAAAGTTTTATTTTGAACCGAACCTATTATACAAGTGTACCAACAATACCATAGAACCTTTGGCATTCAATTGTGATGCATTGGCTTAGAAATCAGAGTTATTACAGTTTAACATCCATCAAGGTACACAAAATCATCCAACTAGAGATCCACAACATGCTTTTAGGTCTGATTGGCGTATTTTTCACTTTCAGGAATTTTAGTGGTGCTCTAAAAATTTGAATGTATTGTCACCATTTGGTTTGATGTGTTCTAAGATAGTTTACTTATTTAAAAGGTTTTTCAAATCATTTGTTTGTTACGAACTACTTAAATATTGATGTTTTTTTTTTCCCAGTAAGTAGATGCTCCATTTTCCTATTTCTGAAGTTTCAATAATTTAGAAATCAAGCTTATGCAAAATGAAAATGTATTGGATGTGTTCTAGGTTGCATTATCACTTTCAGTTTTTTCTAATTCCTAAATAGATCAGCCCCACCAAGGTAAAACAGGGTCAGCATCAGAATTAGAGATATTTGAAGAAAGGGCTCATCTCTCTCTCTCTCTCCCTCTCCCTCTCCCTCTCTCCATCATTTCTCATTTTCCAGAAAAATAACAAAAAGTTTTAGAGCTCCAAAATAGCCATGAGCAACTATAACACTTGCAGGAAGATGGATCCGCGCCAAACCTTTTGGGGCTTTGCTCCTTCATTATGTCTGATGCTATTTCTGAAACATATTCCTCCCAATCCATGGCTTGTATTGCTTGGTTATTTGTAAAAGGATACCTACAATTGAAAAAGCACAAAATGAGAATGGATGTGGTGAACAGTGTCTGGCAACATAAAATATGCAAAGAAGCACATGATGGAAGAAAAAGGCTCTGTAATATATATGAAACTTCTACAAATCAAATAGAGGTGTTATGGAGCTCAACTGTTGGACACGGCATGTCTCAAATGACAATATAGCCCTCCTTAAACTTCGATTTGATTTTTCTGCTATACGTGCAGCAAATTCAGACGGAAGTTGCAGTCCTTCTTTCTTGCCAATAAATTCAAGCACCTTAACAATCTGGCACAAGGCAACAGTGGATAAAAATCTGTGATGGTAATTGAAAGAAATTTTAGTTTTTTATCAATTTACTTTCATAGCTACATTGAAAGTAAAAAGCACTTTTGAACATGACCATAGTTGTCAAATCGTGTATCAAAAGATGTATCATTTTTAAAAATAGTGTATCGTAAGATACGTGCAATTTTAATTTTTAAATAATTATTAATAAAATATATGAATATACCTTTGTAAAAAAGTCATTGACTCATAAAAACATAGCATTTCATTAATATTACACCAACCATTCAAGTTCCCAACATAGTTTAGTAATATTAAAATGCAAAGACCTCTAATTCAAACTTATAGCATCAACTGCTTGAACAACCTTAATATTAATCAGGAATTTTAAATTCAATCAAACAACATTAACAGCAGACTTTATTTATTTTTTTTAAACCATAACCATTGAAACGACGTTTCACTAACTAGTGATTTACAAATAAGTTTTAGGGTTAAAATGATGTCATTTCAACCCAAAAAAAAAAAAACAGAATCATCACGTATTGTACATATCAGGCATATCGTATCGTATCGTGTATCATACGATATGGTGCAAAAACAATACAGAGACACAGTACGTATCGTTTTTTAAGTGTATCGTATGATACTAATAACTATGAACATGACACAGCACTAAGAGAAACAATGATAGGTTCTTGAAGTCGGTATTCCTTGGCAACCTATATTACTTTGGAAAGAGAAAACAGGACCACATGCGATAAAGAATAAGAGAGAGCAAACACCCTATGTGTTGATGGATTTCTAAAGTTATGATGTCTACCGCGTAGAAGTACAGAGCAAGATTATCCTTTTGTTTCCTTTGTGTTTTTTGTCTCCATGTGTGTGTTTTTTTTGGGGTGGGTGGGGTGGGGGTTACTCCTAGAAAAAAAGGTATAAGCTGAGAGTCTTTCCTTGCAACATATAGTTTTATTACACAATAATTTTAGGACAATTGTGTTCAAGGATCTAAATTTCGTTTCGAAACGGTCGACACGTCCGAAACGTTTCCGTTTCCAAGGAGACCGAAACGAATCAATGATGGAATCGAAATTATAATACTTCAAGGTGTTTCATAATGTTTTGAGGTATTTTGCAATGTTTCAATATATTTACAGAATTGTTTTGGTATATTTCAAGATATTTTGATATATTTCGACCAATGTTTTAAAAAAATAATGCTTAAATTTTATTTTTTTTTTTTCATTATGGTTTGGAAACAGATCGAAACTTTTCAAAACATGTTGAAACGTTTCCGTTTCCTAGGTGATCGAAACAATGTACCGAAACAAAATTTTGATCCTTGGTTGTGTTCAACTTAAAGTGGGATTGTACAATAGTAAAATATCTTCATAGGACTTCTTGCTTAACATGCATTATAGAGACAACCAAAGACCCGAATCAATCTCATTATAAATATTTGTACTTATACCCACACACGATAAAATTTGATGAAGATGCTCAAACTATCTCATAAATCGAATAAGTCAGCAATTAATTCATGAAAATTAGATACTGCAAATTCATTGATAAAAAGTAACAAAACTGATCACTAGCATAAGAAAAATACCTCTTCTCCAACAAATCCATGAAGCTGAAAACTAGTTTATAGTTGAATTATTGGGCATAAAATGCCGGAGCAAACAATGATCAACTATGTGATCAACCAAAAAAATGGTGATGCATAGATACATACACATATATTATTCCCCGCAAGAGATTGGGAGAATCTAATTGAGGACACAAGGAAGAAAAAAAATCTAAAAAAATTCTTGTGTAAACACCCTAGAAAGCAGTGGGGTGGAACGACCCAGCCACCAACTCTGGTTGCAGCAGAGTGCAGTTAGAGTATGCATTTGGTAAAACAAATCCTACTTTAACTCATTAAACTAGGGTAGCCTTTTCAAATGCGCCAAATTGATGAAAACATACATTGCTTTCTGACTTTAAAGCAGAAAACAAAGCTATACTGACCTCTTCTTTTGTCGGTGCATTTACTCGCACATTCAGACAGCGAGAACGGACTGCTTCAGTAACCTTTGAAGAACTGTTGCAGCATAGAATCAGGCGGCACGAGGCACTATATTTTTCCATTGTTCTTCGGAGAGAGTGTTGAGCTTCTCTTGAGAGTTTGTCGACCTCATTGAGCACTAATACTGCCATGACACAATATAGAATGTCATCAGAATACGCCAATTATATACAAACACTTACCAACAATGCCTGTCGCAACTATGGTTTGATGGACTACACTAATATTATACAAGAAATGCCAAAATGTGTACACATAGTAGTATCCCTAAATTGGAATAGTGGAAGACTCAAACGAGTATCTAATGTAAGTAAATCTCCATGGGAAGTGTAACCAGAAGTTTCAAGCACATTAGAAATGATGTGAAGATTGAGCAAAAAGTGTTCCTAGTGGAGGTTGATAAAGAATCAAGGGGGGATATAGTCAAGATTATAGATAGAACAAGTTATGCTACTTTCTCCATTGCGATTGGGATGGGAGGTGTTTCTTGGCTTTGCATTGTGGTTAAGGAGGTGCATGCATGGAGAAGTTCAGAGACATTCTTCAGGAAGTTCAATGGTGAAGCATATCATCTTTGGGTTAATTATACTAATATGTATGGCAAGTTCCTTACGATATATAGAATACATTCTACCAAGGATCAAAACATCGTTTCGAAATAGTAAAAACGTCCGAAACGTTTCCGTTTCCAAGAAGACCGAAACTAAACAGTGATGGAATCGAAATTCTGATATTTGAGGTATTCCATAATGTTTTTAAATGTATTATAATATTTCAATGCATTTGCACAATTATTTTAGAATGTTTCAAGATATTTCAAAATACTTTGATATATTTCTTTCAATGTTTTAGAAAAATAATTCTTAAATTTTTTATTTTTTTCATTATATTTCCGAAACAGGTTGAAACGTTTCCGAAACACGTCGAAACGTCTCCGTTTTCTAAGTGACCGAAACAATACACCGAAACGATATTTTAATCCTTCCATTCTACCAGTAAAAGACGTTTTATTACTGTTCCTTAAGGTGATAATTTTAATGGATGGAGAAGTTTTTTAAATATGATGGAAGGTTTTATCAAAAAAGGTATTAACAAAAATTCATTTGAAAAGGGTAGGGGGTAAGATAATTGCTAATAGAGAGGGAAAAGTGGTGAGCAATGAAGTTAAAATGCAAGATTTTTCTGGTTTTGATAAGTGGAGGAATGCTATTGTGTGTACTAGAGAAAGCATAATTAGTCCGTCCTGAATTCAGAAGGCTCTGGTAAATAAGTTCAAGCATCAATTTGTGTTGAATCCATATCAAGTGGACAAGGCAATAATTTTTTGTGAGCAAGATGCTGATGTTAATGAAATGTGCAGGGAGGAAGAATTAGTTACACATGAGGCGGGTAGAGTGAGATTATGCAAATGGATAACTGAAACCAACGCATGAAAGGAGAAGATTTCATTAATGGGCTTATGACTATAAATTTGGGAAAGGGCCAGGTGAGGACCAAGTGACCTTTGGATCATTAAAATTTCCAATAGAAGTTAAGGTTAGAAGCCCGATAAAATTGGGCTATTTTAAAGCAAAAGGTCTGGACCACTTCAGACTTAAAAACAAATAAGCCAAGCTCCGATCCATGCCACTAACCCGAAATGTGATCTCTTAAAGATTAGGTAAAATTTGGTTTTGTACAAAGACGAGATGGCAACAATGGACTGTGATGAGGCAAAGGAAACAGAGACAACGACGGGTGAAGACAACAAGATGAGATAGAAGGAAGGTTACGAAGGCACTGAGGGGGATGAAATCCACTCTCTGTGTGAAACGATGGATGGGTTTGAAGTTCCAGGTGACAGCCGATATGGAGATTGATTGAATTTGGGAGCTGATTGCTTCAATGAAGACAACATGAATAAAAAGGGCTATGAAGAGTCTACTGGTGGTGATTATAGCTCACATGAAAGCTCACAAAGGGCTAATTTGGTTTCGGAAGACACTCAAAAGGGAGCAGAATCAAACTATCGATTGGGTGGGCTATTTGAAATTACAAAGGAAGAGAAAGCGACTACAAACGGAGGGGTAATTGATCAATGTGAGAATTCTAATTTTGAAGCATGTCAACATGTAAGTCTTCCTACATTGTTATCCAATGTTCTTCCTTCTAAACACTTATATCGTTCTTCTGGGGAATTGGGAGCTGAGATTAGAAGGGGGTGTGAGAGCTTTGATTCTGGTTTCCCTTCATTTGCGAGGGAGAGTGTTCCTAGTCTAAGGAATGAGGAGGGGAAGTCTTCATCTCTCTCTGTTGGTAGTTCTAAGGGGTTGGGGAAACTTATCAATTCAAGCTTGTTAGTGGAACAGAAGGAGTGTAATCTATTGATATGTAATGGGAACAAAGGTGCTACGGGGAGTTAGTTTTAAGGGATTTTGGAGGCCATCCTTTTCAAAGTAATGAGTGCTTTCACCAAGAAATAGATTCTTTTAAACCACAGGTATGGCAGGATGATACCGATGAGGAAGATAGGTTTTACTGGTCTGATGAGAAGAAATGGTCAATTTTAAAGAAATTTTTGGGAAAATGGATTTGTCGATAATTTATAATAAGAGAAAAGGTAAGAAAAATGAGAGAAGTAAATCTGAGAGGAAAAATAAGGGGTTGAGAGAACTAAAAAATTTACAATGCGGTGTTTGCCTAGAAAGAGTGATGAGGGTGTACAAAATTCTTTATAAAGATTATTAGTTAGAATGTGAACGGGTTGGGTTCTAAGGAAAAGGAAAGATCAATTAGATAATTATTGATTAGTCATGAAGCACGAATACTTCATTAAGGTTGATGTAATAGATACGATACTCATCGAATACTCAAGAATACGTATCAGATATGCATCATACGTATCAGATACGCATCATACATATCCAATAATTAATAAAATACGTGGATACTTCGCTAATACTTCTACACATGGAGCAAGATTTATAATTTTTAATTTTAATCTATACCCTCTCCTTTCGATTTCACATACAATACAATACAATACAATACATCAATAAATTTTATTTGATTTTAAAGACACAAGTGTTTTCTAGTATTATCTATTATTATATGTCAAAAGAGTAGTAAGAAATGAGTTAATTACACTATAATGTTAGAAACAAGCACTTGTTAACAAACCAACAAATTAAATGTTGGTTCTAATTCCTTTAATTGATCATGTTCACTTTATGAATATATCATAATAAGACGATATTAAACTTTTTTCAAGGCAAAAATTATTAATCTTGCTTATTACTGTTAAATAATTATTAAAAATTATAATTTTTAAGTCATTAAATAATTATAAAATATAAAATATATTTTATTGTAGATGTATCCTAGTTGTACACGTAGTCTATTTTTTCAAGTTTTATCGTATCATCATATACATATCGTATTGTACCTGTATCTCGTATCTGTATCCGTACTTTCTAGTTGATTAGAGAAGAGTCTGATGTGGTTATTTTTTAAGAAACAAAAAAAGAGAAAATTGAAAGAATATTGATAAAGAGTGTGAGAAGCTAGATATAGAAACTGGGCGGGGTGCCCTCAGTGAGCAGGTCTGGTGGTATTGTAATAGTGTTGGATGAGAGAACTGTCAAAGTGGAGGAACATGTTGCGGTTGAATTTTCAATTTCAATCAAGATTAAACATAATGATGGATGCGATTGGTGGTTAGCCAAAGTGTATGGTCCAAATTGTCCTAAAGTAAATAAGAGATTGTGGGTGGAATTGCCAGGTTTATTTGGTCTTGTAGTCCATGATGGTGTTTAGGAGGTAATTTTAATGTTGTAATGTATCAAGAAATTGAATGGTACAAAGGTAACTAGGAGTATGAGAGACTTTGATTCTTTGATTAGGGAAACAAGACTCAAGGATCCACCGTTGGGAAACGGTATGTTTACTTGGTCAAATTTTAGAGAAAACCCAATGTGTAATAGATTGAATAGATTTTTATTTTCTACAGAGTGGGAGTAATATTTCTTAAGAGTCAAGCAAGGAGACTTTGGTGAGAGTTATATCAAATCATTGTCCCGTAATGTTTGATTCAAGTAAGATGAGGTGGGGGTCATCTCCTTTTAGGTTTGAAAATAGGTGATCGGAAGATCATGCATTTAGAGGTCCATTTTAAGGAGTGGTGAGAGAAAGGCAGTTATGGGAAGGTTTTAAATTCATGATAAATTGAAAAATGTAGAAAAGAGAGTTAAGTGTTGGAATAAGGAATTGTTCGGGCATATTAGAATAACAAAAAATCATGAATAGAGTTGCAGAGATTGATAAAATTGAGGAGAATTGGGGTTACAAGACAATTTGAGGAAAGAAAGAAGGAAATTAACGAATAGATTTAAAAATGTGGTATTTAAGGAAGAAATAAGTTGGAGGCAAAAGGTGAGAGTAAGTGGATTAAATATGGGGGTAATAATTCGAAGTTGTTTCATAGAGTTGCAAATGGGAGGAAAAAAGTTCACCAAATTATATGCACAATAAGAGGATTGGAGACCCATATAGATTGGATTGGATTGGAGCCCCATTGGACAAGGTGTGTCAAGGTAGATGGAAAGACCTTTTGTGAAGGAAAAAGTGCAAAAGGCTGTTTTTTAGTGTGGTCGTCAGAAGGCAACGGGCCTTGATGGTTTCACTCTAGCTATGTATCAAGTTTGTTGGGAAACTGTGAAATCAAATTAAATGAAAATATTCAATGATTTTTTTCAGAATGGGGTGATCAATGCAATTACTAATGCGACATTTATTTGTTTGATTTCAAAAAAAGACAAATACATGAAGATGAAGGATTTTAGACCGATTAGTTTAACGTCCGGTCTTCATAATATAATTGCAAAAGTCTTATCTCTCACATTAAAAGAAACATTGTTTGATACTATTTTTAAATATCAGTGAGGTTTTGCTAAAGGTAGACAAATTCTTGATGTTACATTGATAGCAAATGAGGTGTTGGAGGATTATAAAGTTAGAAACAAGGAAAGTTTTGTTTTCAAAATTGATTTTAAGAAAATATATGATTAAGTAGATTGGAGCTTTTTGGAATATGTTTGAGGGTGAAAGTATTTGGAGGAAGATGGATAAAATGGATTATGGGTTGATCAATTTTTCGGTTATGATGAATGGAAAGCCTAGAGGGAGATTTGAGACTTCTAGAGGACTGAGACAAGGAAACCCGTTGTCTCTTTTTCTCTTTACTTTAGTAGCCGATGGGTTAAGTAGATTGGTGGAAGGTTGAAAGTAGTAATATGGTGGAGGGTTTCACAGTGGGGAGGGACAGAATTTCGGTTTCTCATTTACAGTTTGTTGGTGACACGATATTTTTTTCTAAGGGAGAGGAGGGAAAGTTGTTAAATTTTAAAAGCATTGTTGATGTGTTTGGCTTAGTGTCAATTTTGAAAGTAAATATGGATAAAAGTGTAATTGTGGCCATTAATTCAAATGAGGAAAAGAGAGTGGATGATGGAGTCATCGAGAGTCTTATCATGTAGTCTTTCTTTGATTCTTTGGTGGGGTAAAGTTCTTATCCTTCTTTTTTTCCTACTTTGATGATATGGAAAGCTAAAGTACCTTTAAAAGTAAAAGTTTTTAAATGGACAGTGGCGCATGTTAAGATTAATACTAATGATATGTTTCAGGAAATGAGACCTTACATTTGTCTTTCCCTTCAATGGTGTGTGATGTGTAAAAGTGATGGAGAGAGCGTTGATCATTTATTTTTACATTGCCCTATTGCTTTGAACTTGTGGTATCGCTTGGGAGAAGCGGAGTTGAGTTGGGTGATTCCTGCAACATCTACTTCCTTGTTGAATGAAGATGTTAAAGGATTTGGGAGGCTTGATAAAAGTGTTACTCTATGGAATTGTGCTATCATTGCTACTATGTGGGTTATTTGGAAGGAGCGTAATGCAAGAATTTTTGACAATCGGAATGTCTGTATGGAAAGACTATGGGAGCGTATTCATTTTTCTAGCATCGTTTTAGGCTTCCATTACAAAGGCTTTTAAAAGATCTCCACTTTTTGCTATACTAGTGGTATGGGGATCTTCATGTGATTTATAGGCTTTTTTATCTTTTGCTTTTGAATTTTTCCTATAATTTTCTCTGATTGTGATTTGGATTTCTTATCCATCTCTTTTCTTTCTATTTTAAGACAAGCATTATGTTTCTTATCAAAAAAAAATGGAAAAGATAAGGCAATAGCCTGAGTTACCTTTGAATCCCTTCTTCCCTTTTGTGTCAATTGGTCTGTTTTTGGCCATTTCTTTGATTATCTCCTGAACAATGTATCTGTCCTGAAAGCCTGCATCACTGGGATTAAGCTCGACATGGTGGGTGCTTGATAATGTTGTAAGCTCTAGATCAATAGTTCTAGTCCCAGCCTGTAAAAGACCACCCAAAGGGTAATGCAAATTGAAGTGGCTGCAAAGGATTAAAAAAGTGGACAACCCAAATTGAGGCCATACCAGCAACCAGTTTGGGTAATTACCAAATCTCATAATCAAGACCGGCATGATATTGATAGTACACAACAATTGGGGCAGAAGTAGAGTACTAGCATAAGACTGGAAACATAACTACTCCTAATCACAGGATACCTTGTCAATACTCTCTTCTTTTCTTTTGTCTATTAATTATTTAATAAATTGGGAACTGCTCCTTCACCTAATGGATTTTATTCCATGTCCCAAATACGTTGTTTTATTTGATGGAGTTGAATCCTTACAGAAAGCTATGACTTTATTTACTACACTTACCAAATGCAGAAGTCCTGTACACATGCATATAGACAGGGGCGGAGCCAGAAAATTAATTTAGGGTGGGCATATTAATAAATTATATTTTTTTTTCCAATTGATCGTAGAAGTTTTTTTATTTTTTATCAGAGTCATAGAAGTTTATAAATTTATATTTGTTTAAATCATATTTAAAAACTTCAAAAATTATTAAACATAGAAAATTATAAATTGATCTACATTGCGTTTACACAAGAAATAAAAAAGAAATTAATTATAATTTGGTACAAAAAATGAAACTAATTATTATTATTTATAATTGACTCTGATAATTTTTTTATCTTTTGAAAATGTTACAAATCAATGCCAACAATAAATTTTTTTTTTTCTATATATAAAATCATGGTAACAATATTTTCTTTATGACTCTGTAGGTTCTTACATAACGACACTTATTTCTATATAATAATATAATAATCATATAATTTACAAAATTTACAAAATACCTTTAATATGTCTAAAACTTATTCATTCGTGTCCGCATCATATCCTTCGTATAAATAGTGAATTTTATTAAATATTGAGACTCACTATTAATTAGACTTAATATCACAATATATTAAGTATTGAAATTAGGTTCTAATAGCATTGATCAAAAGTTAGTAATCATTTAGGTATGAATTTTTTATCCTAATCTATATCACAAGAACACAATAATTGAGTGGGCACAATTAAATATACTTAAATTTTATTTTAAAAAATACAAAACTAATGTTAAGAAAAAAAATTTGAGGGGGGCACCAATGGAAGCTCCGCCCATGCATATAGAAAAACAGAGACAAAATGAAGAGCATAACTCACATCAACTTTCCAGGTCTTGTTCTCAACCTTCACCTGCATATAACAAAAGCCAAAAACATAAAATACAAAATAACCAACAAAGAATTACAAATCAAGAGCAAGTAATAAAATAACAAAAAAATTGAAAAAAGCAAATAATGAATGCATGAGAACACCTTCTCAGTGCTCACACCAAACATCTGTCTAAGAAGGGCCATGATTAGGGTTTTCTTGCCCGAACCTGGCGGTCCATAGAACAGTAAATGAGGACAATCTTGCTCTGTAACCTATCATACACCAACAATTGGGACACCAAATCAAAACCCTAACCTAAGATTGTTTTACATACATCCTTTATTATATCAATTTTTAAGATATAAAAAAACCAAAAAGAAAAAATTCTGTAAAAATGTACCAATTTCTTGAGATTGTGTGCCACATCTTCGTGAACTACGACCTTGTCTAGGGACTTTGGTCGGTATTTGTCCACCCACAACATCTTCAGAACCTGACCGTTGCAGAGAGAGAGATGGCAGGAAAGGAGCAAACCAATTGTGAGCATAGTTTAAAAACCCGGCCCGGACATCAACCCAAGAACAAGTCAATGGATCATTGCTTCCACCGTTAGGTCGCTGGTCAAACCAGTCGTATAGTAAAAAGATAATAATTATAAATAGGCTAAAAAATCACAATAATTATGAAAATAGCATACTTAATGTATATTAGATCAAACAAAAACCCCAAAATCATTAAACATGTATCCAATGCATTCTATTTAATATACAACTTGTAAATTTAAGCAAATAAAAATACCTCCATTTATTATTTAAGTGCGAGTCTCCAAGTCTCTGACTATGCATTACAATATCTATGTACAAAGGATTTAAAAAAAATATAATCTGCTCTTAAGTGTAGACAATTGCCATTTGATGCATTTATGTAAGTTCTTACAAATTTTCAATGCTTCTTTGATTTATCCTCTAAGCCACCTATAAATTATCAATGTATGCGAAATTATGAATGCATTCATGGGATGTCAAGTTCCTTCATATGAATTGCATAATTATTGAAATTGGTAATCTCATAAATGTTAAAAATTGAAACAGGCCAATATTTATACAAATACAAATCAACTAATTCTGAAATGCACAAAAAAAAATTGCATATTAACCTTAGAATCATATTTGCACTTTTTTTCTCTCCTATCCTTTTCCGAATGTGTGACAATCACCCATAAATAGTCGCCGCCTAGGTGAGTAAAAGAATCAATGACTAAACAAAAATATCAACAATCTAAGTCGGATGTTAGATCATTCATTCTACGGTTTCTACCACCTTTTTAAGTCAGATGGGAAGAACCAAAAACACACAAAAATCTTTCATTCTACCACCTTTCAAACTAAACTATATATCAGCCAAATAGATTTAACGAATTCAAAGCACACAAAAATCATTCAATAATCACCCTAAAATACATTCAATCAAACTACAAACATATTTCATTAAAAAAAAAACCCAATTTATAATTTCTCAAACTCAATTTCACAAAAAAAAAATCCCAATTTCAAAACCCTAACATTCAATCAAAAACACTAAAAAAAATTATTACAGCCCTAATTAGTGAAAAACCCCAATTAACACCCTAATTAAACACCCAATTTGATCACCCTAAAATACATTCAATCAAAACCTTACAAACATCTTTAATAAAAAAGCCCAATTTATAATTTCACAAACCCAATTCCATGAAGTGACTGTGTGCGTGTGTGCTGCTGTGTATGTTTGTGTGTGCTGCTGTGTGCGTGTGTGCGTGTGTGCGCGGTGTGTGTGTTTGTTTGTGTGGTCTGTGTGCGCATGTGTCTGTTTGTGCGTGTCTGTGTGCGTGTGTGCGTGTGTGCGTGTGTGCGTGATCTGTGTGCGTGTGTGCGTGTCTGTGTGCGTGTGTTTGAAGAAGGAGAGCTGAGAGATAGACAGCGAGAGAGAGAGGAGATCACCTGGTTGAGTGGTCGTGGACGATGGGCTGGGCGGTGGTGGGGTGAGCCGTCCTTGTGCGTGGAGATAGAGAACGTGGAGAGAGTTGAGTATGTCGGAGGGTTTTGGGTTTGTGTTATGATTTTAATTTGGGCGGGCTTTTGGGATGACTTGTGGACCATTCATCGAATGAAATGTGAACCACTAAATTTATATTAGATCAAATATAAATCGTTCTGATTACTTAATTTTGGAGATCTAAATTGGACTGTATCTTATTATTATAAATTTAAGATCAATTTTAAGATTAATTTTAAGTTTTATTTATCATAACTTAATTTTAAAAAATTATATTTTAAATCAAAAGATAGTGAACTGTAGCGCCATGCTGCGATTTGTATTTATCTCCTAATTAACTAAGTTAAAACCTTCCTCTACAAAAACTCACCTCCAAAACCACCACCATCAAATACGCACGCCACCCAACTCTACTGTTCAATTTGTGAGGCACCTTGCCCTAACAATCGTGGACAACTCATTCTTCCATGGTGATTCACCACCGTCAACTCCACCAACACCAACTTTACAACAAAACAAACACCACATAACTACCTCAACTCCACTTGCGCCCCCATAAAAATTCAAACATAATCCAATCCAACCCACAAAATTTCGCCTCAAACGTTAACATGACCACGACCACCAATCCGTAGACGGGATCACTAGCAAATCTCCAAACAAATCTAACTAGTGAATCAAACACAATCGAAATTAAAAAAAAATAGATAGAAAGACATCAAAGGTCTGTTTGGATTGCGGGTTAAATGAGATAACACTAGTGAAATAGGAGAAAAAAAATATGTGAGACTTACTTATCCCGCGTTTGGTCCACTTGAATTTATCTTAACGAGGTTTAAAAAGTCAACTTTAAACTATCTATGTGAATAAAATACAAAGGGGTCTGGAATAATTTGGCTATTTACTGGATATATCATTCTAATGACCCATTTTCCCTTTCTCCCACACATTGTCCAGTCGTCATCGTATCTCTTCGCCAGAGTCAGATACATTTCTCTCCATTTTTCATGCTATTTCATATCTCTTTTTTTTAATCTCCCTCAAAGATCGCTTATCTTTCATAGAGGGGTTGAGGTCAAGTACTCGGGCACAAAAACTTGTGGATGATTTGAACCTAAAGAATGGTGACAAAGCTGAAAACAAAGATGATTCAAGCCAAAAAAAAATGAAGTTGCCATCACAGGTGAAAATAAAGTTGGGCTATGATTTTGACTGAATTGGAATCATGTGAATAGCTGGCACTGTAGCAAAGATGTTGACTCTCATGTATATTTCTGATTTAATACAATTGAAATAATATTATATTTCTCTTTAATTTATTGCAATTGAAAGAATAAATAATGATGTATATTTTTGTTTTTTAATAAGAATGAGATTTAGCCATGTGACTGCTTTTTTTGTTTGGAATTGGTCAAATATTAATTTATAAACCAAACATGGGGTTGGATTGGATAAACTAGGGGCAAAATAGTTAATGGTACCATATTTAATCATCTTTTTCATGTGTCCCACAAAAATGCTTATGTGTTATTCAAATACTGAAAAAAATAGGATATAACTATTAAATCTTAATCCGTTCAATGATAGATGAGTTTGGGTTGGATAGAAAATGATATTATTTTAAATCTCCTCTAAAACCCAGGAAATTTGAATTTTGTGAAAAATGGGCAAAATGGTAATTAGTCGCTATGGTATAGATTGAAAACTTGAATTTTTCTAGAACTCGGATGATGAAATGGACTTCACCGTTAAATTCATCTTGCGAAATCTAGTTAACTAGTTAATTTTCATTGAATTTTGAGATAGTTGAATTTTTTTATATTTTTCAAAACGATCGGGTGTCTCGTAACCAAAATAAACGCGATTGAGTTTTAATTGTGAAATACAAAAAATAGTTTAAAGTTAGTTCAAATAAAATATGTTGAACATAGCACGAAACGAAATTTAATTGATTTAGAACAAAATTAGATCAGAAAAAGACAGGACGTGTGGCACAACAAGAACCAAGTATTAAAGAGTATAAATAAAAGAGAAAATCAGATTTTCTTTATATGTTTTTGTGCCTTTTGGGTGATTGATAAAATGCCTATGTTGATGTAGCATATTTGTTTCATTGAAAATGTTGTAACATGTTTCGTGAGAATATGGATTGTACTTATATACTTTTGATATATTTGACAATTTGAGAATGTGATGATGTTGGAATGTAATTGTATGCTTTATGATATTTGTGACATTAAGGAATTTGAATTGTTCATATTGTGCTCATGACATGTCAAACATGATGTTGTAATTACAGTTGAAATTCTGGTTGCATAATGATATGAAATGCAATTGTGCATTGCATTGCATTGCACAAAAAGCATCACATTTGTAGGCATGTGACATAGGTGTGGTTGTGTACATGGTTTTGATCAAACACCATTCTTATTTGACGATGTGTGGGCTTAGGAAAGTTGGACCAAGTTTGACTGAGCCGCACAAGTTGTGTTGAAAATAGGGTCAAGGTTAGGAAGAAGGGTTAGATTATCCCTCAAGCGCAAGACCTGGTGATTTGGATATGCACTATGTTGGTATTGAGTCCATAAAGTGTGTAAGCGTATGTAGAGTCGTTGGTGGAAGTCCATAAATACCGTTTCAGTAGGGTTCCCATTGGTGGAAGTCCATAAATACCCACTCAAGAAAGACCTGTGATTTATAAATGGTCATTGGAAATGCCTGGATTCATACGCATGACATTGCATGTGTTATGGGAGCCGGTGAAGGCTTGGGTTGCGTTGGATGTGTGAGTCTCACCTCATAACATGACATGACATTATGACATTAATTCTTGAAGTTGTATGTTCTTTGATGAATGCTTGTTTGATTGTTGAATTGTATGTGAGCATTTCATATGCATCTAGGTTGGGGAGTAGCCTCTTTAGGAGATACCCTATTGAACGTGGCTCACCCTTTATAGGGACAATATTTCAGGTGCGGAACAAGTGCCGATGGATGATTAACACAAAACATTGTATATTTTATGTACATTTACATCCCTTTTATGTTTGTTTTTGTAGTTAAAATGAGCAGAATTACACTATTCGTGCTTTTAATGGAGTTTTGGTATGTTTACAGGAATAGGTGTTCAAATGGTGCTTAATAGACCCTATTATGATGCTCGAGTTGAATGGAGTTGGGAATGAGGTTTGATGAGAGCTTAGGTGGTGAAGGAACCAAGAAATCAACAAAACAAGGGAAAACCTACCGATAGGCCATACCGGTATGTTTTAGCTACTGGACCTGCACCTACCGCGAACCTATAGACAGGCTTTGCTTACTGGGGTAAAACCTACCGGTAGGTTTCCATTGACCTATCGGTAGGTTTTGGTTAAACAGCTCAGATTTGACACCTCAGGCTCTACAACTTTGGGGGCCCCACCAAACATTCTCCCACCTACCCTTGGCACT